CATATCTATATGATGTGCAGCTAAGAAATGGAATTCAGACATGTACAATGAAATTGAAGTTAATTCTATTGGTGATTAAGATTTAAATGATTATGGAGATCATAGTGATGATGGTTCTGATTTTATCATGTCTAGTAGGTCAAATGATGAGGCCAAAACAGATGAGATTCTTTTTCAAGAACTGATTGCACAGGAAAATATTTGATGTTGACACTGCTGATGGAGATGATTCTCCTGTATACAGTGTGTGTGAGGATAATGATTGAATATGCTCTACTAGCTAACAGTTAACCACAAACAGGACAAAGGATCTTGGTCCATGCAAATGACTATGCAAAGTAGATATACTTCAAATGAACTTAATTTGTGACTTTTCATTTTTTGAACAAATGGTGAAACTGGTGTTTTGTTTTCTAGTAAAAAATCTAAATATAATTTTACTCTTGTCTGTTAATAGTAATTATTATACGATTCTAATCAAGATGTTATGTGCCAGACTTTAAGGAGATTATAGCATTATAATTTTTTCAGTTTTATTGTTATTTATTCATCAAATTAATTTACTAGGCCTTACATTTGTCTCTTACCCTTACTTTGCCCTTGAAATTCAACCACAGGTTCACTTAATAGAAAAAGAGTACAATTCATTCAGTACAAATTTACTTTTACTGTCCAATTTTGTAACAAAAAAAAGGGATGTGACATCAATCCATTAAAAGCTCCATATACTGTTTGGTGGGGGCATTTTTCAAACACCAGGGCCTGATGTAACAATGAAACTATACATTCTACAACTATTAATGTACTAAGTGTATGTTCATGATTTTTTTTTTTCTTAACATTTCACAACTTCTTTCATCCAATTTTCTTGTTTTATTGATCTTTGGATTGTGTCTAACTACTGCAATATACAAAAGTTCAGGGTAAGCAAAGCTTCAGGTTACGAAATATGATATATATAAATATGAAATATATTCCTCAAGCATGAACATTCTTATTTCATTTAAGTTTCCTTGTGTGCCCCGAGAAGTTTTTAATTTTTTTACATTTTAGTTACTTTTGTTAAAAATATACATAAAAAATATGAAATTTAGCACATACCTCGGCCCTACTCTGGTTAGCACTTGGTTGCCAGCTTTTGTAAGCCTTTTTCTTTTAAACTATTTTTGTTTAAAAAAAATTCTTGTACTTTAAAATATATATCTAAGAACACAAAAAATATATCAGGCACAAAACCAAGATACCCCCAAATTACAATAATTTATCTGGCTAAACTATAAATAGATTAACTCTTTCAGAGCAAGCATCATTTTGTGTGCATGTCAGGAGGTTTTAGTTAATTAGATTACTTTTTTATCATGATATATAAATAAACTTAGCATAAAAATGCAGTTAATAATCCAAATTTTAACATTATATAAGTTTACGGTCTTAATTTTAGAAGGCAATATTTTAAAAAAAGGTCTCGATTTCCCCTAGTGTGAAAATTGTGACATTTGCTCTCTAGGTATTCCCTCTTCTCTAATTTATTTATCACCCTTCCAAGAAGTATGAAAGTTAACATAAATTACTCATTATAATGTTGTAATCACTCACACAAAGCATAATTTTTATAGCCTTCAATCTCATTTGGTTACAACAGCAAACAAATAGAAAATCAGACCCAACTTGTCATGCTTGCCTGTCACATTCTCTTGGTTCAGAAATTGCTAATAGTTCTCTGTAACATTTAATACTACATTATTTATAAACAATAGAAAGCCAAGGTATTAATCTATCAAATGATGTATTATACTACACATTGACAAGCTTAGCTGAATTTTTAACAGCTCTATTGCATAGTTAGGAAGTCCAAAACACTGTGATAGTTAGGACATTATTTGCTTTTTTCATGTTATTATTCTGTGTTCTTAAATAAATAATTGTTTAGTGCAGTAACACCATTAGTATAAAAAAACAGAGTTAAGTGTCACTGACAGACAACAACAAAAAAAAAAGACCCAGGTAAATACTATATGTCTTGTTTTTCACATGTATTCTTTATTTATTATTATAAAACTAACTAAAAGGTCAAAATTAGAAACTTTTTAGGTCAGATTAGATTAGATAAAATAAAAAATAATAATAAAAAGAATTATGAGGTATACTCACGAGCAGCTCACATGTTATGTAAATCAATAGGATAATATGAGCTCCACATTCGGTAATAGATTTAAAAATTTTATGGCAGGAATATTAGTTTAGACAGGGTTCAAAGGGCAATAAAAGAATAAAATTTAAGTATGAACAGATGTATACTGTTATGAGTTTAAAGGCATTTAGGATAAACAAATGTAGTATCATGTTACATTTTGAAGTCATTTAGAAAGAAAAAAGGGTAATTTAGATTTATTTCAACTTTTTTTTAGTGGTTATGAGGTCAGTCAAATTAACCAACCTTTTATGTAGAATTACGGTAGAAAAAATAACAAAATTACCAAAATTTGACCTTTCTATTGGTTTTAAACGTGTATCATTGACAAGTATGTGTGAACAAGTAAATTATTTCAAAAGCTTGAAGGGTTGGGAGGAGCATCTGTGATGAGTGTGTTAAATTGATATCTTAAAAATTAAAGAAGGGGAAGTTCTTATTTTATTTTATATCTATAGTTTGTGTATCTAATTAGTCAAAGCTCTGAAACTTGTGTATGAGGATCACATGACACAGTAAAGTGAAGAATTAAAATGTTTTTTAATATTTCTTTTCAAAATTAAGAAATCAAACTTAGATAGTACAAAAATGTGAATTATAAACTGTATTTTAATGCCAAGTGTATTGATATATATTGCTAATAAAGTAATTTCATTAAATTTTGAATATAACTATAAAAAGGTTGACATATGCACTGTGATCTGCTCCCTACCTGTGTAAAAAGTGTTAAAAGCACCTATTTTGTTTTAGACTGGAATATGCTTTGTTTTATAATGTGTTAAATATATTTCCTTAGTTTCCCATTGTCTTTTATGATTACAGCAGATTTTTGACTTTTATTGAGATTAATCCATTGCCCCAATTGCTTTAAAGCAACTACTGTTTTTATCTGTATTTAGCTTTTCAAAAACACTAACTGTTACTTCTGCTCAGATACACTTCTTTAATCATGGATTTAGCACAGGCTTCCCACCATTCCTGTCACAGCATATTTTCAGTGCACAGTCCAAACAGTATGTTGATGTTTAATAGTTTAAATCATAAGAAGTTTACTTATGGAAGAACTGAATCTTGTTCCATTGTGGTAATGCATGGCAAGATCTGAATAAGGCTGCTGTAGAATCTGTAGCAGCAAGAGAACACGAGTTAAGGGTTTGACTGACTTACTTTGCCTGAGAACAGCTTTTATATTATGATTTTTCTTGTTTACTTACTACTGATTATTATGTAGTGACCTAATTTTAGTTCCACCAGCTACACGGGTTCTCTTGTGGATATGAAAATGCACAATGCATCTAATGAGGCTCCCACAAATGGCTCATCGTGTGGTTATCATACAGAACTTCTGGTCATTAAATGAGAAGACACTGTTCGTGCTTGAGTGTTTTATCTTTATTAACAACTGTTGATACATACCCTGTTATTCCATCCTTCATTGTGTGACTTAAAGAGAAGGTTTTGTGTGCCCTTTAAATTTTTAATGTGTTTTGTTATTCATTATACATTCTGCTGTGACAACCAATCCTTTGTGTCTCAGGTATAAAATATATTTTCTTGCTGATATCCAACAAAATGTTTGTCAAACTGTCATCTTTAATAATTTCATTAACTTGGAAATACTTCTTCACTTGCTCCTGGCCAAAATGTTTATCGAGTATAATTCTAATTAAGATGATAATAAGCTATACACTCTCCTCAACAAAGTTTTGCAGATACATGAATTCATTATTCTGTTAATTGACCAAACACTTGTTTCTCTTGTTCTTTCTATAATGGTACTGTTAGTATAGGAATGTTTCTACTCTTTGATTTTGAAACCAAGTATTGTATTAGTTTTTAAGCTACAATTTGATATTTAAGCTGAATATCTCTGTTGTTTTATTTTGTTATAAACAATTTTCTTTATACTGTTTAATGTTTCAACTTCAATTTAAAACCAAATTTATCACAATATTATGTATTAGAAATTTTATCTTTAGATCAGCTTTGTTGTTTTGACACTAAAGCTTGAAACTTCAGACCAGTCATCATTGCTGTTTTTATACTGGAGTTACAATTTTACACTTAGATCCAATTTACTTGAAACTTTTGCACTGTTTTGAAACTGCAGCTCTTTTCAAACTAAGGTCACCTGGAGTTTTCACATTGTTTTGAAGTTACAATTCTATTTTAAAACTGAATTTTGAAAGTTTTGAAAGTCCAGTTGGTTATTTAGACCAAAATTTAATTAATTTTTTAGTGTTTTGAAGCTGTGATTTTATTTTCAGACTATACCCCTTTCTTACTTTACATTGCTTTAATATTACTACTGGTAATTTATGGAATGAATATGTTTATTCTGTTTTTAAATTGTAACATGTGTTTAGAATATAAAAGTATATTTACTTGAGTTGGTTATTCTTATAGAGTGATCGATATGTTAGTTTGCTTTTTAGTTTATAAATTCCTATATATATGGGTGTTCATATCTTAAGCTATTTGATTTTTGTTAATTTTGTCAAACCCCACATTGCTCTTTTAACCATGTGGTAAAAAATTGAATGCATGAAGTCACCAAAGACAAATAAAGAAAGCATAACACATTTATTTTAGATCATTTCTTGAACAATATATTGCAATTAACAAATATTCAATTTGTACATTTTTCTACTTTGACTTACAGATGAAAAAAAATTTTCTGTCATAATAATATCTAACTTTTAAATGATTCACTAGGTGTAGCCCTTAGAACTTTTACTATTGAAAAAATAAATTTTGTTGTTTTATTGCTTGAAAACTTATATTAAATTGCCTTTATCATGTTTAATAGGTCAACTGCAAGATGCATTTGCCTGTTATGAAAGAGCTGTCAAAGTTCAACCAGACACAATTAGTCACCATCAGGGGCTTCTCCGATGCTTGATGGGTTTAGACCAATCAAAAACAGCACTTACCTATGCTACTGGTCTTCTAGATGACAGGTTTGAGTTGCTTGTTTTTTGCACACTTTTCAAGTTATTCATCTAACAGGAAAAAATATTTGTTTGGTAAACATGGATATTTCTTCATTTCATAATTTGTCTAGTTATCCACCTGACAGGAAATAAGATTCATTTGTTAATCATGGATATTTCTTAAATTCAGAATGCTTTGTACTTGCACTAACAATTTAAGTAAACTTCCACATTTTTTTTTGGAGAATATGAAAGTTTCAATAAATTGTCTTTGTTGTATTATTTTTGTAGACCAGAATGGTCAAATGAGATAAATCCATTTCGTGTAGAATCAGCATGGAAGTTAGCAGACTGGGACAGCCTGTCTGAGTTCCTAAAATCAGTAAGTGTGATATAGTCAAATGTATTTTCAAACTTTTAAATTAATGTAGTATCTTGGGATGATTGATTTGCTAAATTCATTGGATCAGCCTTTTGAGAATAAATGTTTTTTTATTGAAGTTCTTTATTCACATTTCTTGACTCATTGGATTGTTGTTCTGTGTCAGAAAAGAATTGTAAGTGTTCATGTATATAGAGCGTTTTTCAGTATGAGTAACACTCCTCTAAAGAAACTATCCCAAGTGACATATCAATTTGATTTCTTAAAATAGTGAGTGTTTGTTTATCTTTTACTGTGGATTAAGAAAATACATATTTTGCCTGCAACAGGTATAATTAAATTGCATCATAGTAAAATAAACTACAGATATAAGATTTACAGCAATGAAAAAGCATTGTCTTACAAGTAGCAGAATTGAAGTTTGTCGTTTTTAACATCAACCTTTTATTGATTAAAAAGTTTGAATTAATAATTTTTGATACCACTCATTTTATATAATTCATTGAAGAACTTGCATTTTTTGAACTGGGGTCTCATTACTGTCACTTTATTGGAAATTCATGGTTTCCCGAAAAGTTAAGGACTCCTGTCTTTTCACTAGAGATGTAGTACTGTAACATAAATAACTATAACTCTTTTTTTTTTATTAGAAATTTATTGAGATTATCACTTGTTATAATCCCAGGAGTTGCACTGACCCCTTTTGTGAGACTGGCTGCCTTGCAGCAGGTAGAGGAGAGATCCTTTACTGATTTTACCAGTAGGCTTGTGGTTATTTACTTTCCTATTGATTTGTGCATATTTTAGTTTCACTACTATACCATACCATACTTTGTTCTCCAGCAGTTTCATTCCCTCTGAATGTTGAGGAATACTTCCTATGGTTGCCACTTTTCCCTTAATAGTGCATGTGGGGGGTCAATATTCTGTCATTAGAGTTGTGCTGGATATGATAGGAGGGTTTCTCTTACAGAGCTTGTCAGCTTTCTTATTTAGCTTCACCCCTACATGGCATGGCACACAATACCAGGTGATGGTCTGACCATGTAGTTGTTTTGTTTTCTGTCATCCACCTGGGCACCATATACACTGAATTTCTGATAAAATACCTTTCCTCTACTCACATAATAGCTTCCTTGATTTTTGCTGCCCTCTATATGTGTAATTTTTCTCTTATCACTAACCTCATGAGGGACAACCCTCCACCAATTAGAGTGCAAAACACCCTTCTATACTGAAGTATACAATTGGCATTTCTCGATCTGGCACTCTGTAATGATGTCTTTATTTTTGATCATAGCCTTTTCAGAGATAGTTTTTTTTTTTAAATGGAAGTATCTACAAAGACATTGCCTGTTGTGGAAGTATTTATTTTTGAATTTATGCTTTCCAACATTTTTCTGCACCTACAGATTTTGTGGCCTTTTATTCCTACACTGATATTTCATTAGTATCAGTAACTTTCACTGTCTGGTTTGAGACAAGACTAGCGTCACACCTACATTGGTGTCGGGTTTGTCTTTGTCTGTTGGGAGAAGTGATAGCTTTTTTGCAGCAGGTAGTGGAGTAGTTCATGCAACCTATGCCTTATTTTGTATCTGACATATCTCCACCTGTGTTTTTTATTAGTGATGGAAGGAATTTTGCCAGTTTTTTCCCACGACCTACCTCTGCCTAATCTTATACCCATGCTCTCTTTAATCTACCTAAACCTTTTTTCTAGGGCCTAGGTTTTTCAAGTTTCTTTCACTCTTTCTCTTTGTAATTTGTTCCCTGCTTCTTCATGTTTTTTTTTTTTATCTAGATATGCTAGCCTATATTCAATTACTTTCACCACTACTTTGTTTATCTTTTCTTAGGCTTTTCCATCTTCATCTTACACACACTACCCTTTTCCATTATATTTACTCCATTTACCTTCTTTCTGTGGTAATCCACCATTCCCCTGAGAGGTTTTTGGTGAATGCTCTTTCACTTATCTTCTCTACAGTTGTGTGTTTATCTTCTTCGGCCTTATCCCTTTGTATTTGGTTGATCTGTTGCTACAATTTGTTTGGGACATGATGCCCTTGTTACTTAAGTCCTTTTGCCTCTTTTTTCTCTCATATACCTTCATCTGCCTGTGTGGTTTTACTAAAGTGCTTGTTTGTCTGGGGTGATTTTTGCACTCATCTAAACTATATACTTCTTCTTTTCTGGTCTCCAGTTTCTAAGCTCTTGCTGTGGATGAGTTCCATTATATTTGTCCATTCTTTTCCTCTATGCCTATCCTCCTATTTGTCTTCTCCCTCATTCTGGTCACTCCATGTCAAGTCCTCCTGCTTGCTCTCCACTGGCCAGCTCATTGTACCTCTGTCATGCTCCCTATTCCTACAGCTTCACTCCCCTCTCTCCCATTCAGCAGTGTTCTCACTCCAACTTCACATATGGACTTTGTCAGGCTCCTTGCAAGACATTTCAGATTCTCTTCACATGTAGCCTTTCTTGTTTCTCGTTTCATTTGTTCTTTCTGAATTTTTACACAAGTGTTCTTCCAAAGCTAATTGCTTCTGACTATTACTGGATACAGGGCAGCTCTATTAAATACTTTCAGGTTTTCCCATTATCATCATATATTCTCCTCTACCATCCTTACCCTGCTATTTCATTCTTTTTGCCACCTTTGTCCTCCTCATCCAGCAGTCCTTCCTGATTGCAGCTTAAATGTTGTTTTCCATGCCCTTACCTTTACTTTCTTTGCATCTTTGGTCTCTTGTTCCTTATATCATCTTTTGCTTAAGTCCTGTTTCTTACTTTTTTCCCTGTGGATGTAGATCAATATGTATGCCATTGATTCTTCCTGTATTGTTTTCCATCATTTTTACATTCTTCGTTATCCTGCCCATTCTTTTCTCCCTAAAATGTCTGTGACTCATGGAGAGGAAAGTGTTCACTTCTGTTTCCCTACCTTTCATTTCTCACTTATATTCTCCTTCTGATCTGAATAATTTTTTCTGTCCCATCTATGCAGTTCATTGTTATTTGGCCCACACAGCTTCTTTTCATGGTTCATGCTACCCTTTATTTATTGTATAGAAATCCTTCTCTCCCCAAGATATTTCTCCCATTACCCCACAGGATGCAGCACATTCATTTAGCCTATGCTTCATTGGATTTAGATTCACATTGACTCTTTCAGGTATCCTCCCACCCAGTCCGACATCTTACTCTCTGGCTATTCACTTCCATCATCCATTAATGAAGATTGTGTGGGCTGCCCCACATACTTTCATTGCACATTATCTTCATCATCTGGCCATCTTTTCTTCTTCGAGATATTGACTTCTTCCTTTCACCATTCTTCATAACTTATGGGCTCTGACTGGGTAAATTGTTTTTCTATATCTTTTACCTTTACATTGATCCATTTCTATGCTCAGGATCCCACTGTGTGGCAAGCAGTGCCTGCCAGGGTATACTTAACTTTAAATCTGTACCATGTGACCTTTGGACTCTGTAACGTTCACTGATGAGATGAGGTGTTCCACAAGTCAGCTTGAGTTTTTCTCACTTTGTACTGCTTCATAAATAAAGTCCATTTCAGACCTTACCAACTCATGGACTATCATGAGTAAAGCAATGTTTGGATTGCTGCCCATCCCTCCAGTCCTAGTTGAATAAACCAGGGGACAGTCCTGTTTTTCGAAATAAAGTTTTTGTGGTTACCCATTACACAGCATTGAACTGTTGAATTCCTCTGGACTCCCCATGGCATCCCCCTTTTATGTAGTATGGGAGTTCATAGCTACTAGGGTGGTGGATCATGGAGGCTTCATCCTGAGCATAATAACTTCCACTCAGTAGAGAGTAGGGTTGGTGGTATTCTGCTGGTGCAGATGGTGTGTATCCTCCTCCTCCTACTGTGAAATGGATGGAAAATTTCCAATACTGCCTGGTTTTGGACTGGACAAATCTGCCACATGCATTTCACCTCTCTGGCAACCCCCCCCCCTCCCTCCTACTGCCACTTGGATATCAGTTCCCAGGCAGTCTGGTGTTGGATCAGCGTAGGACCAACCAACAGAAGTCCTCACACATGCAGACGATAAGGACCCTTCACCTACCATGGACCAAACAAACAATTCCTGATACTACATGGTTTTTGACTGGAGTTGACTCACCAAGTTTGCATTCCCCTTTACTACCATTGCCTGTGTGTTAGGTTGTGGGTGGCCTGGTTTTAGTTGTGTACTACTACTTCACACATGCCCTACCTTTGTTACCAGAACAAATGTTGCTTTCCTTTCTGCTTCCTGGCATCGAGGTAAAGATGGTTGGGACCTTCCTCCCACTGCAGACCAGAAGACATATACCTAGTGCTGCCTGGTTTTGGACTGGAGTTGACCCACCATATACTGTCTGATGCACTGTAGCTACTACACCATCAAGCAAGTCCATTTCCCCTATTGGAATTGTTTCCTTTCAGCCCAACTGGTGACATGTATCTTCACTACAGGTAAAGAGTATACCCTGGTACAGAAGGGGTGTGGTCTCCTGCATGTTTGTCCCTGTACTTTTGTGGTAGAGGGTATCATGCTCCATCTGTTCTCAATGTAGTATTTTAGCTCTAATGTGAGGTATTGTATCAGAAGTTAATCTTTTCCAACACTGGAAATGTATTTCCTATAGATACTTATCTCTGTCACATTTCCCACCCTTCTTCCCTATTTCCAATACATCTTTAATTGCTTAATCTCAAAGTGAGGATTGAATAATTAGTATAGAGGGTGTCAGCCATGCTAAGAGAGTGTATTACACTCCTGTTGGTGGAGGGTTGTCACATGCTCATTTTGCATGCTACAGTACAGCAATAGCATGTGGAGAGCCTCAAGGCTAGTGGTGAGCAAAGAATTTTGCATATAAAGGGCAGCATGAATTGAGGAAAGCTAATATGTGAAAGGAGCTAAGCATCCATTGCAAATACATTTTTAGTGTTGGAAAATGTTAACTTTATACAGTACTGCCTGCAAATCATTTTCAAATATTATGTAGATGACACTTTCTATTTACAGTTCATTGTTTTCCATAATCCAGAAGAGAGGTTGCTGTATGGCTTTCCATCTCCATCCTTGAGCTGCTTGTATAAGACTTGTATGCTCCTCCACTAGAAAAATTTGTTGTTCTGAAAGACAGTGAATACCCGATCAGCTCTCTCTTTGGTGTAGGAACCATTTGTGGCTATGATGACAGGTCACTGCTCACATTTTAAATATGTGCTGACAAGATTTTTCTGATTCACCCTTTGTCTGTCTTCTACATTTTCTGTACAGTTTGATTACCACAGATCCAAGGGGCACCAGATGTTTATTTAACTTGAGGAACTGTGAGATCTGGTGTGACCAATTATTTCAATGGTGACTCTTTAACATCTGTCCATCCATAACTGTCTCCTGAGGTGTCTGCAAGTCATTGTGGAGCTGTAATATACCAACTGAAAAGGACAGTAGTTCAATGATGAACGATCCAGAAGTAAGTTTTTTTTTGTTTTTTTTTAATTTTACATTTAACTCCAAAAAGTGAAAGAATTGCTTGAGTGTAAGAAGCAATTTAAGGCATCATAAACAAGGGAGAATATACAAAGGTTTAATCTTTTTGTACAACTGTGTATTTTCATCGTGAAACATGATTTCAGTTGTGTGTGTATGTGTATCTTTGGTTAAAAAATAATAAATGCCGAGGGTTATTCCAAAAACGTTTATACTCTTACATGCTAGAATATCATCGGTAATTGTTCCTTGATGCCTGTACTTTAGTAGACTGAAATTTGGTAACTCAATTTTTTAATGTTTTTTTTTTAAAAAAACAACTATTTTATATATCAAATTTGTAGGAGACTCCTTCTGACAACTGGGGAGTTGCTGTTGGAAAAATTCTTCTTTCTGCTACAGAAAAGGTATGAGAAGTCATTTGTATTGTAAGTTTAATATTTAGTAACCTACAGTTGACACAAACTAATTTTATTTTATTTTGCCAAGTGCCTCATTTCCTAATTAGTAATTGTAAAAACATGAAAGTGAGCTTTAAAGTTAGATTATTTACAACAAGCAAAAGTACCCATCCCCAGTAATGGGAAAAGTTGAAGTTAATCTTTCAATTGAAATTATATCGTGGACTTTAAAATGGTTAATTGTGTTGCACTCTTGGTTTCTCTCAGAGCCAAAGCTCTGAGCTACTTTTACCTCACACTACAAAAAAAGCAATTGTTGAGCATTTCAGTCATGTTAAGACCTGTTCAGCAATAACATACAGTAAATCTACATTTTTATTCTTTAAGTTACATCATCTTTGAAATGTGAATGATAGTGTGATTAATTCCTAACAATTTAGTATAGAATATCCTGCTTGTGAAATAAAATTTGGCATCAACATTATTTATGCCTGTTCTCCTTTCATTTCAAAAGTGAATGTTGAGCTTTGTCTGTTTGTAACATATATAAGATATATCAAGTTGTTTATGATCTGTTTTTCAAATATTATTGTATGAGCAAACATTCAAATAATATATTAAAACAAGAACACTTGCATTTGTGTCCTTTTTATGTGACACAATTTAAAGCATTATGAATTCTCTTATGTAGTAAAACTTAAGCTCAGTTTATTTTCATTGTTTCCATAAGTTGTAGTTGAAAATTACTTGGTAATTTGAAAAACAAATCATCTCCTTCTGCTAGTATTTATTAGTCAATAAAAGTGTGATAATAGCAACAAAAGATTATTTTTGTAATTATTATTGCGTGTGTAAATGTTCAAAGTATATATGTACACTGTACACATATGAAAACTAGATATAATTGTGTTATGTACATTGTATGAATATTCAGGCTAGATTTATATCATGAGGAAAGATAATAGCTCACCTTAAATATATGTTTATTGTAGTCATGGTTTTTAGTTTAAATCTAGCCATTTATTTGAAACAGGTGAAATAGAGATTTGGATCTGTTTATAATAGGTACAGTTTTTAGTTTAAATCTAGCTATTTATTTGAAACCGGTGAAATAGATATATGTGCATATGTTTATCATAGTTATGGTTTTTAGTTTAAATCTAGCTATTTATTTGAAACAGGTGAAATAGAGATTTGCATCTGTTTATCATTGTTATGGTTTTTAGTTTAAATCTAGCTATTTATTTGAAAAAGGTGAAAATAGGTATGTGCATCTGTTTATCGTTGTTATGGCTTTTAGTTTAAATTTAGCTATTTATTTAGAACAGGTGAAATAGAGATTTGGATCTGTTTATCATAGTTACAGTTTTTAGTTTAAATCTAGCTATTTATTTGAAACAGGTAAAATAGATATGTGCATATGTTTATTATAATTATGGTTTTCAGTTTAAATTTAGCTATTTATTTGAAATGAGTGAAAATAGATATGTTCCTCTGTTTACCATAGTTATTGTCAGGTTTTTTAGTTGTATGCATGTGTATGAGCTGGATTCTTTACAGTAGGTGTCTGCGACTTATTGGCAATAAATTTCAGCAACAAGCAAACAGCACACAATCCTGTTGTTTAAAATGATAATATATTAAACAAGTCAGTTGTATATACAAATGGTTGTTACACTGTTGGTTGAATAGTTGTCTCATTTTTGTTAAAATCCACACAGGCTGGTTCAGTTACTATAGAACACAATTTGACAAGACAAATTATTATTCCTGCTCTGTTATTGCAATACAGTCTGTGATAATTTCACTTTAGTAATTGCCACTGTATGATCTTTCTGGCTAAACTCACAGTCACACAGTCTAGATCCATCTATTCTATCTAACTAACTCAAAGTACATTTTGTATGCGTATTTACAGCCTTACAGAGGCCTCAAACATTCTATACACTATGAGATATTGTGATGCAATAATACTCAATCAAAACAATGAGAAAACGTAGAAGGTTCTAGTAACATGATGCAGTAGTACAAGTACCAGTTCACAGCAGTTAATCTACATAGTGTATAATTTGTACACAGTTAAGTAAACAAACCTGTGATAAACCAAATATAGCTAAAAATAACTAAATTTAACACTCGCACTATACTTAAACCATTTAAGTCATTAAACATAAAGAGTCATGTATATCTAACAATAAGCCCCTCATCAAGAAAAATATTTACAATATTTTTTATACAATATACAAAGACTATTTTCAGTTCATGCACAAAGTCTACTCATACAGTCTGCACCAACATTAGCAGTCCCCTTTATGGATTCAGTATAGCACCAGTAGTTCTTGAGATACAACGTCCACCTCACTGTTGATTTTGCACATCTCAATGTATGCAAGGGGTTGATGATTCATTTGAATGATGAACTCCTCATAGAGGTTGTTCTGGAATTTCCAGATGACAAATATGATGGCCAAACACTCTTGTTCAATCACAGACTAGTTCTTCTCACTACTCAACAGCTTCTTATTGACATACATTACAGGAAACAGTCTGTCTACATGTTCTTGCTGAAGTACCACTCCAATTACAACATCTGATGCATCAGCCTCAACAACGTGATTGGTTTGTTGAAGTCTGACATTCTAAGGATTGACAAACTTCCTGACATGTTCTTCAACTTCTGGAATGCCATATACCTTGTTGTGTTGGCCTTTCTTGGTCAGGTCAGTCAGTAGTGCAGTGAATTCAGCAGAGTTTAGGATGAACTTCCTATAGTATCCCGCTAACCCCAGGAAGGATCTGACATGCTGCTTAGTCATTGGAACTGGTGCACCTTCCACAGTTATCTGTCAGTCACCCACTTTGTATCCAACAAAGTCCATCACAGAATATCCAATGTAGCACTTAGATGATCTGATGGTCAGACCTACTGCCCTCACTCACCAGAACAGATCCTTGAGTTTCTTCAGGTGGTCTTCTCATCTGACTGTGTGTGTCAGAATGTCATCCACATAGTGCACAATGTTGGTGGTTTTGTGCAACATCTTCCA